GAAGAGCGGACGTGACACCGGATGGGAATAGCCAGCCGGGAGCAAGAGGTCACACTTCCGGCAGCCGCCCAGCCTGCGTTTGCGAACAGCTTGCCTGAATGCGCAGGCGCAAGGTTGGCCTTATTAGGGCTTGGCGGGGTCATTACTGAGCCGCTGCTCTCCTCGCGTTTTGGGGAAAGCGTTGAGTCCGGCCAAAGAAAGGGTTGCGTGCGATCCGCAGAAGGCCACCCAGGCAGGGCTGTTCTGGGACCCTGCCCGAGCTCTCACGCGGCTTGATAAACATTTCCTTCGGGTGTTTGGTCGGTGGAGTGATTCTTCCCCACAGAAGGGTTCCCTGAACCACTTTTCCCCTAGTGTCTTCCACTGGATCAGCTTAATTTTTTTTTAAGGTTTTTGCCAGCAAGAGACAGAGAAAGTGAGAAATCACCCCTCGAGGGGATGGCCACGCAGCTCTTCTCCTTCATTTTCATTCTCCTCTCGGGATCTTGAACACGCATGTACACAGTGGTGTGGTTTTAAAGCCATGGATTCCGAACTCCAAGCACCTTAACCACCATGCCACCGGGTTACCCTCACTTGTTGACCTTAGGATGAATGTATTCAATTTTGGTTCTTCACGATAAAGTGTGATGGTTTTTTTTAGATGCTCTTTCTTAAGTTGAGAAAGTTTGCTTGTAATCCTAGGAATGAATAGGGTGTAATTCTAGGTGACGTGTTGAAAATTCTACAGAATCAAAAAAGCTGTCAGAATTAATAAATGAGACGAGCAAAAATATAAGATATAAAATCAATAAAAGTCCATTGCATTTGAATTAGCAATAAACAATCTGAAATCGAAATATATAATACCATTTACAGCCACATCAAAAATAGATACGAACTTAGGTTATGCTGATTTTTTTCATGTATCATACCAAAAGCGCTATACTTAAAAAGGGGACAAACTGGGTTTCATCAAAATTAAGTTCTTAATTCTTTTTCTGAAAGAATGCTTTAACTTTATTTACTATTTTTTATTCGATATAGGACACATGTGCCCACCAGAGAGAGACAAAAACAAAAAGAAAGTGAGACAGCAAGCAGCCAGGTCCGGGACTGGAACTGCAGTTCACCATGTGGGAGTCCAGCGCCTTAACCGCCACACCACCTGCCAGGCCCTGTACCTAATTATTCTTTTTTTTTAATTCTTTTTTTTTAAGAGGTTTTTGCTATAGGGCGCCTGCACTCGCCAGACAGAGACAGAGAAACAGAAAGTGAGAAATCACCCCCAGGGGGATGGCCACGCCGCAATCCCTTCTCCTCCATTCTCCTCTCGGGATCCTGGACACGCACGCACATGCGCCTGGCATGAGTTTTAAGCCACCAGGTCCAGGACGCGAACCGCGGTCACTACATGGGAGTCCAGTGACATAGCCATTACGCTAACTACTGGCCCCTGCCCCTAATTATTAATAGACAATGTGTATTAAGAGTATGACAAGATTGAGTGGGCAAGTGGCATGGTGGTTAAGAGTGCTAGACTCCCACATGATGGACGGCAGTTTGAGTCCCGGACCTGGCGACTTGCTTTCTTATTTTCCCTTGTCTCTCTCTCACTCTGTCCTCTTTGGTCAAATTAAAATAAATAAATAAACTTAAAAGAAACAGTATAATCTTTTAAAAATTTTTTAGAATTATTTTATTTAACTTTATTTGTATACATTTATTTAAAATAAATGAATAAAAATTAAACAGTATAATATTTTAAAATTATTTTAGAATTATTTTATTTTATATATAGGGTCTGGCCATGAGGGAGTCCAGCACCCTTAACCAACACACCACCTGCTGGTCCCAACAGTACAGTCTTCTTTAAAAAAGAGTATGATAAGACTAAACCTGTACCCAGATGTGTATTAAAAAAAAAAAAAAAAAAAAAACTCCTGTGCCTCTGTTAACTGAAAATAAACTCTGTGAAGTATTTAAAAGCAGTTTATTCTAAGTCAAATATGACTGATTGCAGCTGGTTTTATAGCCCATATTCGCAAGTAGTCCCAAAACATGCTCACCATGGTCATATAATCCTTGGACATGTTTTGAAGGTAAAAACCACAAGTGGGCAGTGGAGGAGGGGAGAGTTTGTCAGTCATTTTATACAGTTATTCTGGCTATAAGCATCAATAACAAGAGGCATCTGATGTCCAAGGTTGGACAGGCAGTCTCTAGGCAGATGTTTTGCAGAATTAGGTTGTAGTGTTCTTTGTGCAAGGCTGTGATTCCGGCAGTTCTCTAAGTGCCAGTTCCTGTTAGCAGGCATACTAGCAAGAGGACACGCCTCCTCCATGGCCTGACTGGTTCCATTGAGTCTGGATTAGCGTAAATGACTCCATTTGGATTTTGAAAACCTTTTATACCTCAATAGTAAGCAAATGAACAACCCAATGAGCAAATGGACAAAAAGTTTGAATAGATATTTCACCGAATAAGCTATATGGATGACACACACACAAAAAGATAAACAACATCATTAGTCATTAGGGAAATACAAAATAAAACCACAATGAAATTCTACTTTTTACCTATTTAATAGCAAAATCAAAAAGACTAACTATATCAAGTGTAGGCAAGAATGTGAACCAGCTGAAACAGGAGCACTATTAGTGGGAATGCAAAATGGTACAACTGCTTTGGAAAATGCTTTGGCAGTTTCTCAAAAAGAAACTGTATTTACATGTATTTACATGTGCTCTGGCCATTCCACTCCTATTTATCCAAAAGAAATGAAAGCATACGTCCTCACAAAGATGTACACACAAATCTTCACAGCAACCATACTTATAACAGCCAAAAACTAGAACAGCACAAATGTCCATCAATAACGTATGAATAAACCATTCATGGTATATCCATTAAGTGGAATACGACTCAGAATAAAAAGAAGTTAACTATTGATGCAATAACATGGATGAATCTCAAAATAATTTTGATTAGTGAAAAAAAATCGAACAGCAAAAAAGCATATCTATTATATAATCCCATATATATATATATATACATATATATATTCCAGAAAATGCAAAGAAATCTTTAGTCTGGAAAAAGCAAGTCAGTAGCAGCCTGGACGATGAAGAAGTATAGAGGGAGGCAGAGAAAGGCAAGAGGGAGAGATTTCCAAAGCAGTGTGAACAAACTTGGGAGTGATACTTCTGTTGATAGTTCGATGTTATGGTAGTCTCCACACTGAAATACCACTATATAGTGAAACATTAGAAAGACGTACAGGATCAGCCCATGGTCTGGTGGTTAAACTGTATTCAACATAGCCAACCACCTGGTTCAAATCCTGGACCTGGTAGCTTGAAAAACACTGAGTTGGGGCTGGCAGGTGGTATGGTGGTAAAGGGCGCTGGACTCCCACATGGCTGACCATGGTTTGAGTCCCAGACCTGGCAACTTGCTTTCTCACTTTCTCTCTCTCTCTTGCTCTTGCTCTCACTCTGTCCTTCTCTGGTCAAATTAAAATAAACAAACAAATAAATAAACAATGTGAATAAAATAATTCTTTAAAAACAAACCAACAGAAGAACACACTAGGTGTGTGTGCAAGCATGCCCCAAATCCAGAAAGTACAGAGAGAGAAAGGAGAAAGGGTTGTGTTTTGACAACTTCCTGTGGTGGTACTTTCTCCCTCTCTTTCTCTCTCTATCTCTTTGTCTCTCTCTAGTGAAGGTACAGGCTCTCTGGCAAATGTAAAAAAGAAAAAATGTACAAATGATTATGTCTCAATTATACCTCAAAAATAACTTAAAATTCACAAGAAAAAAAGTTAGCGGTCATTTGTTTCACTTTGAATAAATCTCATACGTGGTTTTGTAACATTTGGAAATAATTGGTTCACCGAGTTATATAGATCTTCTAAACATTAACACATTTTATCCTACATTATCAAAAAAGAAAAAGACATGTGGAGGGCCAGCAGTAGTGCACAATGATAAGATGCTGTGCTCTACCAGCTGGAACCACAGGGGAAACCTGAGTTCAATTCCCAGTTCAACCTAAAGGACCAACAGCGTGCACCTATAATGCCAGCAACTCAGGGGGGCAAAGGCAGGAGGATTGAGCTCGAAGCTGGCCCAGATAACAAAGTGAGACCCTGTCTTAAAAAGAGAATGGGAGGGGCCAGCAGGTGGTGTAGTGGTTAAGGCACTGGACTCCCATTTGGTCTACTGTACTTAGAATCCTGGATCCAGTGGCTTGAAACTCTCACCAGGTGTATGTACATGCATGTTCAAAATCCTGAGAGGAGAATGGAGGAGAAGGGATTATGATATGGCTACCTCCCTTGAGGAGTGATTTCTCACTTTTTGTCTGTCTGTCTCTCTCTCTCTTCTTTCTCTCTAACCAGTGCACATACCCTATAGCAAAAAAGAGAGAGAGAGAATAGGGAGGGGCAAGCAGGTGGCATACTATTTAAGGTGCTAGCCTCCCATATGCTGACTGTAGTTCAAGTCCTGGACTCAGTGGCTGAAAGATCATACCAGGCATATGTGTGTGCATACCTGAAATCTTGGGAGGAGAAGGGAGGAGAAGGGACTGTGGTGTGGTCATCTCCCCAGGAGGTAATTTCTCACTTTTCCTCTGTCTGTCTGTCAGGCAAATGCAAGTGCTCTATGGCAAAACCTAAAAGAGAGAGAGAGAGAGAAAGAGAGAGAATGGGATATGGTGACACTCATTTATAATCCCAGCTGAGAGGCTGAGGCAGTAGGGTCATAACACAGCAAGACCCTGTTTAAAAATAAAACCATAAGGACCAGCAGTTAGTGTAATGGCTATGTCGC